ATTTAGGCCATTTATGTCAGGATTAAAATAATATAGAATAGCTGCATGTTGTGTTGTCTGTACGAATAGAAAATCGATATCACTGGTAAAAATGCATTCGCGAAAAGAAGAAACACTATTAAATCTGCGAACACATAAAAAAATCGTATAAAGAATTAACTGTAATGCATAAATTTATTTCGCAACAACTTCTGTTAAATGCAGTTTCGTAATTTATAAAGATGTCATGTATCTGAATATATTAACACTAATCTAATTCAACTGTATTTTATTATAGAATATTTTATGCTTGTCATAGCTTTCATCACATTAAAAAGAGTATTTTCTTTTTATGAATACTTTAAATTTTTCATTACTTCAAATGTTAGCATTTTAAAATTTGAATGACAAAAACAAAAATGCTCTCTGTTTTGAAAATTTGCTTTTAACGTTTGTGTTATGAATTTATAAAATGTAGCTCAAATAAATTTGCTAAGATCCTGCATATAAGCAACATGAAAGCTTAAAATACTTAAACGCTTAAAAGCTAGTTGAAAATTAAATCATAACACTTTCCTTACGCATTTAATCTGAAATTTAACATGTTCTGCATTTCTATTAAGTGCTTTATTTTCCTTCTATATTTCACAATTCATGTGCGATTTTTTTTAAATTTAATTCCTGATATTTCCTGAAAAGTAAATTATACTACGAATGATTAATTCTGCATTCCAGTTTGTAGAATATATTCTCGTTGCTTTTCTTGAATGAATTTCTTTTCTTATACAGGTTGGTAGAAATATTGCGAAACATTTTAAATATTAAAAAGTACTCAAGGCTCTGAAGATGAGATCTTTCAGAGTGGATATACAGATTTAAAAAGCAGAAGTCACGCCCTAAAGTAGCTGAGGCCTCACTTGGACATGTTTCAGAAAAGAACCAAATGAAATTAATTAGTTAAATTATGGCAAATAAAATGTAATTCATATTAGAAATAAATGTTGGTGGAAAATCAGGTTATATATATATATATATATATATATATGTGTGGTGTGTGGACATTCGATCTTACAACGTATCCACCTTTCTCCTTCCTGCACCTGGCAACCGCATCAGCAGCTAGATGATTCTCGAAAGCTGTGTGATGAAGTTGACTTCCTTCCACTTCTGCGCGTGAGAGATGCTGCGACGCCAGCATGGTGAACGGATCCTAAAAACTATTTACGTTAGTAGGCTAGAGACTTTAAAACTTTACCATTTGGATGTGAGGATTACCAACTGTTGTGATGCCACCCCATGCTATGGAGCTAAATTTTATCTTACTTTTTCCTTTCAATCAGTACATACCATAATCATGTTTATTCTTTCATCATAAAATACCTTTAAAATGCCACTGCCTTCCTCTATTTTAATCCTAACCTCATCCCACATATAGTATATATATATATAAATGCTGTAAGATCTTAAATTCATTTATATACATATGTATACATTCCCGAATTAAAATCAGCTAAATATTTACATTACGTAGAGCATGAAAGAAGATTTGGTTTCCTGGAAATATGACTGTACTATCTGGAATTTATTTTAACTCTCAAAATACATTTTCGTAAAATAAGCTAATATATTTAATTTAAAACCTTTAAAATAAAAACTAATGTTTACATTTCAGAGAGTTCGAGATTTCATTCTATTTTTTCAAAGAAACTTGTAACAAATACATAAAATGTAGAAAAGATTTAGCCAAATAAAAAAAAAAAAAAAAAAAAAAAAAAAAAGCAAATTCTTTTTAGTTTAAATCAGACAGCTTTCGTTGAAAATAAGAATGAAATGGAGCATTTATTATCGGAGGTATATTTCTTGTATCCATGCAGAAAACGAATTACTTGCTATTAAGTTCGCATAGAATTTAGAATATTTCACCAAAAACGTCATAATATTAATTTTCATATCTTTATTTGACACAGTATTAATGCAAATACGTAGTTTAATAGGTTATATAAAATATAAAATTTATGATAAAGTTTCATTACTTTGTATACAGTACCAAAAGTAAAGCATCCTTCGTCATGTTGTTAGCGCCGAAAGTCTAGGTAATACTATGCAAGAAATTCGAATATAAAGGCTTCAAGGACATTGTTGAGCATCCCAGTATTGTCAAACAATAAGTATCTTTTGCATTTGAACTCAATTAAATAGTTACTTAAATAATTATTGAAAATTTCACTATCCCAAACATTCATTTTTGCCCCTCAATGCTCAGTGCTTGGGCAACATCAGCTCGGCGTATTTCAATTTTATAAAAAAGATGTTGCCTTAATAACAGTATTTCCAAGTCTATCATCGTACAGCTACTGAAATGGGGCGTGATATCAACAGAATTTCGTGATGCGTGTAACAATGGCACTAAGATATGCAGAACATGACCCTCCAAATCCAGATTATTCTCAAATAATAAATGCAAGGGAAGATTACCAGATTTTATCTGCTACAATTTGTAGCCCTTGTTCCAAGTCTTCAGACATCCTGATAAACATAAAGATTTCTTTGCCTCTGCATCAGTTCAATAGCACTAGTCTTCATCCATGTGAGTGAGGTAAATGTTAGTGAAGAACGTCTAGGTAATACTAAGCAAGTAATAAAAATGTAAAGGTTTTAAATGATGCTGTTGATCATCCCAGTATTGTCAAATAATGAATATCTTCTTTGTTTGGTCTCTTCTATTAAATAGTTTTTCGAATATTTTTGAAAATTTCTGTATCTCAAAATTAACTTTTACCACTTCGGTGATTGGACAGCATTAGCGCAGGGTTTTTCTATTGTATGAAAGAAGGTATACTGCTCAAAAATAAATAAATAAATAATTATAAAAATAAATAAATAAAGGGACAGTTCTCTAGCTTCCGTTCTACTGGGCCGATTGACGAAATTCAACTTGCGTTTTTCATGTCTCGAAAGGACAACTTAGGATATGTATTAGATTTATATATAGCACTGTTCTAATATAGGTATTTTGACACAAAATCAGAAACATACATAATAACATACCAATTTTTTTTCCATATTTTGATTCTACGACACAAATTACGCCAAATTCCCAAGTTTTGTAAAAATCGCACGAGAAGTTTTAACAAAATTAGCTCTAAAAATTTTATCTCCTGAATGTTAATTGAGTTTGGTATATATTTATTAAGCTTTCTTTTTTATTAAACTTTGATCCTTTCACATGTCGAAATTCAAGTTCTTTCCAAATAAAATTCACGAATTTTTTATGATTTGTTTTTAAAATTTGTATTTTTAAATAATTTTTATAAATTTTTCAAAAAACAATTTGAATTATAATCTATGAAAATTTTTAAAGTAGACATATTTCTAAGCATACCTGCAAATATTTACAGTTTTTATTCAAAATTTCCGAAGATATACGTAAATTTATATATTGGCGCGTTTCGAAATTTGGCATATTTGTTGAAAGCTATAAAACATCAAATGTGGTTTAGAAACTTTGCTAAAATTATTTAGTTATAACGATGGGACTTTTTTCCCCCTTCATGCACAATTTAAAAAGATAGGAACGAGGTACCTTTTTCCCCGCTCTGGCATAATGGAAGGGAAAGCAAAATTGGTTGCCATATATTAAGAAGTTCGTCAAGTGAATTATCCTTGGCGCAAACTGTAAAAATTGTGCCAAGATATATTTTTGGATTTCTCCGTAAATTTCGTGCCAAATTTTACAAAATTTAATATCTAGGTATAATTTAAGTTGTAGAATCTGAATGTGAAAAAATGGTATGTTATTTCATAAAAAGTCCGGTTTTGTGTCAAAATATCTATGTTAGAACAATGCTATACATAAATCTAATATATATCCTAAGTCGCGTTTTCGATACATGGAAAACGCAATTTGAATTTTGTCAATCGGTCCAGTGGAACGGAAGATATAGAATTGTTCCTTTTTTTGCGCAGTGTACATTAATACGTACATTATACATTTCGAAGTCCATCATCGTATAGCTAGTGTCACAATTTACGAGTCAAAACTTTCAGCCCTTGTTCCAACTCTTCAGACATCCTGATGTACATGTAGATTTCTTTGCGTCTGCATTAGTTCAATAGCCTGTCTGTTTGAGCCTGTCTAAGACAAGCTCAAACAACTCAGCTTCACATATGACGTCCAAGACGATGTGTTCTGCTTGCTTCCTAGTACAATGGTGATCAAAAAAGTAAATATTCATGAGGATATTAATGCAATAGCAGAATAAACAGGCAGGGTCTATCAAAGATCGATCATAAAAGGTTGCCTGGGATTTGGTACAATACAGAATGGACATACATATGCAAAATTATAAAGAGTTTGTCTGGAAGAAGGCTATAAAGTTCATGAGTAATATTCTCAGCATTTCGATCGAATTTATTATATACTACACATCCGTTTGACAACATTAAGTTATTGTCTCAGATAGCCCTACCAAACAGCATCCCAAAGACCATATCGGAGATCGAATAATTGCGAAGATGGATGAGAAAGGAGTTGACTAGTGGGACCAGGGAGTTCGGAATCGATCAAAGCTTCACATCACTAATTTGGATGACATTTTAAACGAAAGAACAGCCCGCCAAAGGTATAGTAATGCTATGAGAGACCAAGGCGTCTTAAGACTGGTATCCTTTCAAACAGGAAGAAATATCGATAGCAGACAATGAATAAAATCATAAGACACACACAATATGCTCTTGGAAGCAGGGTATCGTGTTTTACTTGGACCAGCAATCTATGCACAAGCTGATCTTCTCTCGGCGACCAGTATTATGTGAGCCATTAAAGCATATTTAACGGAGACGGAGTTTTCGGTGTGCTGAGGGAATAAAATCTAACTAGCTGAGCAACCGAGGAACACCTTTTTTGGAAGTATACATAAAATTCCTTTTCTGCTTCATCTTTATTCTGTATATTTTATAGAATATTCATGAAAAGTAACACAAAAAATATAAATATGAATTAAAAAACCTCTAGTACAAACCTTTCAAATATCGCTTTGGATTTTGACTTTCATATTGTTCTATGTCTACTCCAACAACGTAATAGTCACCTTTGTCCAGTAAACCCCTTTTTTGCATGCTTACCATCAAACCAAGATGTTCAAAATAGTATCCGAGGACAACATAAACTGCAAAATAAAAAGAAAATATATTAAATATATTAAATATTGTACCTTCTATCTGGATATTGGCATATTATGATTATATTTTATAACAGAAACACATTATATTTACATTATTCACTCTGAAATGGATATTTCAGTGTCAGAGTACTTTGAATTTATGTTTACATACATCTGAAACCTCGCAAGTAGTAGAGATTTAAATTATAAGCACAAGCCATACATTTGTTAAAGTTTTAAATAAAACTGACATATAAACATTCTTAAAAGTTTAAAGTTTACCTTCTTTGGCTGTTTCCTCTAAGAGCACAAAGTATTTTCTCGAATTTTCAATGTATCTAAAAATTCATAATTTAGAATTTATTTTATAATATTTCATATTCCATATCCCAAGGATGCTTATTTTATACTGCAGTGAATTTACATGCTAAAAATGTGTGAAGAATCGTATAATAAAAAATGCAACGGCATATGTAAGTTCTACATTTTCTTAATATACAGTGTTTCACAAAAGTGATGGGACACTTGTGCTTTACAAAAGGAAACTGAAATAAAATAAATTTAAAAAAAACAAAAAAACATGTAACAATTTTTTATGGGTATGTTTCATACTTAAATTTAGTAACAATTATTACATAACATACATTTTCTCAAAATATTAAAATATTGATTTAATAAAAATACAATTGTTTAGAACGGAGCAAAAAATGGCTCACATAAGTGATGGGACACCATTAGATACAACTACGTACTATGCAACAAAAATCGTCTGAAGTAAGAAATAAAAATATTTTTTTTGGGAGGGTTATTTTTACTCAAAAGCAATTGGCAATAATTTATAAAATCGTCTTCAGTGCTTCTCTCCAGTTTGTTTTGGAATTTTTGTGTTTTTTAGCTCTGTGCATCCATGAATGCTACACGAAAAGAAACTTTGCCTGAAATTCGAAAATTAGTTATTAATTTGCATATTGAACGTGGAAAATCTATTAGAAAAACTGCTGAAACAGTTAACTTGAGTCATTCAACAGTTTTCAATATCATTAAGCGATATAAAAGGAATCATATGTTTCATTATAAAAGAAGACCTGGCCGACCATCAAAGCTATCCAATGGAATAAAGAGAATTATCGTTCGAAATATTAAAAAAAAATCCAAGAATGAGTGCTCCTAAAGTTGCTGCTGATTTACAAGCACTATACGGAGTAATTGCTAATCTTGAGACTAGTAGAAGAGTAATTCGATCTGCTGGATATCACGGTAGAGCAGCCAGGAAAAAATTCTTTGTAAGTGAAAAGAATAGAAAACTCAGACTGGCTTTCGCAAAATCCAACATAAATAAGAATTGTGATTACTGGAATGAAGTTATATTTGCTGATGAGAGTAAATTTAATATATTTGGTTCTGACGGTAGAATCTTGGTGTGGAGAAAACCCAGGGAAGAATTTCGCAAACAGAACTTGGTGCCAACAGTAAAACATAGTGGAGGTAGAGTTATGGTATGGGGGTGTATGTCGTCCGCTGGAGTTGGTAATCTTGTTTTTATTGACAGTATAATGGTTATAGCATTTATTTGGGGAAATAATTATGGTTCAGATTCTGGAGTAATTTTTTTTCTTCTTTTTTTAGTTTACAAGAAATTTAGAAATTCCTCACAGCATGTATTCCTGATGTAAGTAATACTACATCCTCTTAGTCATTGTAATATCGAAAATTCGAAGTCTGACGAGGGCATAGCAAATATTTCCTGCCCTTCGAAGAGCCTAATTCACTCTGCACTTTAAAAGTATTATAATTTGAAATTCCTGATTTTTAGAGCAATCAGTCATAATTTCTAAACACTTTTTCAACTGATTTCCGATATGGCAAATTATGCAGGACGGAAGGGCCTGGGTTCAAATCCTGGAGAAGGCATAGTTATAACGGTCCGTCCCTTCATAAGAGGCAACGGGGACCGCTTATTAGTTGCCTCAATAATAAAATGACCACAACATCTGGCCTTAACAAAACCTGGCCTAAATTCTCATACTATAACCTTTAGGATGGCCGCGAAAGAAAACACATTTTTCCCTCTCCTTTACTGTTCCCTAATAATGTAAATAACTTATTCTATTAAGCCATTGTATTTATTGTGTTTATCCATGCTACTGCAAAGTACCCGTAAAGTATATCTTATGTCAATATTGTCTGTAATGCAAATTATGCACCATTAATTTGTAACTATTATGAATGCTGCAATGTAAACAAATGCCCGAGCATGACGTTAGCCTCTGTGAACCAAACGTTCAGTTTTCGCGGGCACCCGAGTAAAACCCTATCCCAGTACAGCATAATTTTTTACACTTTTCGAATGTTGTCGAGCGTACTAATGGGACAAAGACGTGAAAATCCATGAAGAAGTTAATAGCAGTAGTCTATGTTGTTGACAGGAGTTCTAAAGTAAGCACAGAGACGGGTACGACAGATATTTACATCTGAAGGTTAGCAAGAACTGAGTGTGTAGCTGGGTAGAGCTGGTAAATAAAGAAGCATAAGTTGTGTCATCTATTGGCGATTCCGGCAAAATCTTAAAACTGGGGAGGAGTAAGTACGAGCATCAACTGCGGACGAAGAGGATGATTGCTGGGCGAGAGATTCATTGTGTGCTAGGGGGAGGGGATCCTTTTCATTGCCATGTAGATTTGGAAATGTAGCCGAAAGTAGGGGGCGGGAAGAGGGAGGGATTAGCTTGCTAGATGAAAAGTTTAAATTTTAATGAAAATAATTAGTAGTAAATATAAATTAAGAAATTAATGGATTAATTAGTAGATGAATTAGTGAATTATATATTGCTTGAGCTATTTAGTTCTTCGAACATTTAGGAATAAAATATACATTTTGCCCATAAAGGTGTTAACATTTCTAAGTTCATTGAATTTTTGATTAATTAGGTGTGTTAATTTAGAAAGTTGTATGCCGAAAATTGATTCTAGTTCTCATTTTGCATTGAAAAATTCTAAGAAGGCTTAGGAAGAGTTACTTGTTCAATTTTGAATGTTATTTGGTTTATGTGTGACTCGAATGAACTTTAAATTTCCGTTTCGATCATTGTATTGCCATAAATTAGGTCTTTGATTTTCCAGTTTAAAGTTAGAAAGAAGTTCATTCGATTTTTCTTCTAAACTTAACAAAAATTCCGATACATTCTCCTTAACGCTTTCATCTTTATGAATATCCAGACTATCAAAATATGAGTCAATTCTATTAATTAATTTGGTGCAAGCACTTCTAATAACTTTCCTCTTAAATTCCAACTTTCAATCAATCAAGAGTTTCATATAAAACAAAATTGAAAGTGATAACAATTTAAGTGAAAAATAACTTATTAAATTACAAACTGCAATTCCAGCGTTCAAAATTCAGCCTAGTGCAATCCAAAAGAAATAATTCAAACAGCCTTCGCGGGTTTTGGCACCGTGAAGAAAATATAATAATGATATCACTAGAATGTTAAACGAAATTCTTGAATGAAGAACATGTTGTCCAGTTTTTTCTTATTTTTATTCACATCACCCACAAAAAAACATATTAGACTGAAAAATCCAAGCGTAATTAATCCGAGAACTGGAAATAAAAAGGCCACCCTAAGTAAGCCAAGAAATAAGTTGCATAGAATTCTGAAGATTTGTTTCCATATACATTTGCCGTAAGGCCTGCCGGGAAAGAATTCAGAAGACAGTTAATCACGCTGTCATCACATGATCATTATATTTTTAACAATATCTGCAGATAAGGGATGTTAAATATTTGATTCTACAAACGATCTTTTCGTAAATAGATATTTTGTTTTGTGAAAAACGATGTAGTGTAAATAGTGTTTCTGACAAAGATAAATTAATTAGACTTTTTAAATGTCGATGCTTTGTCATTTTGTATCCGCGAATGTGTTGAAATTAAGGATTGGAATATATTAAAAGAAAAATTCTTAATTTACTTTTCTACTTCAGAAAATACAGCATTTGATGACTTTATTCAGGTTATGTACAACAGATTTAAAAATAGTGATAAGTATTTCCTTCAAAAACTAAAATTAGTTTCTGCATTGTATTTAATTATAAAATTCAGTCTTTAACACAAGATATGCCAGAGTAATATCATATGTTATTGGATATTCAAAATGTAAGCTTGCTTCAGAATTGGATTTTCCTAGGAAGAAAGTTATTTCCAAATTCATGTTCACCTTAACACCCAGAAAGCACCAGCAATGTGCCTAGATTTACTGTTTCTAGACAGAACCGTCGTCCATATTTTAATTATCCAAGATATAATACTCCAAGATTTCCCTAGGTCTTGTTTGCCTCAAAATCCTGTCCAGAGAAATAAATGTTCGACCACCATCAATAAAATATCCAAATTATCAGTATCCCGCCTTAGCATCAATCCCCAATCAAAATCAAACTTTTCTTGAAAAATGAAAATATTTCAAGTTAAATGCTCGATAAAGAATAATAACTTTCCTACTATTACAGATACAAGTAATCAGGTCAATGCATTATCTGAAAATACTTTAAATTGTATTGATAATTTTGAAAATCTAATTTGAAACCTCAAGAAAGTTATTGTCTTTATCTGGGGGTTTTCATGTCACTCATCATGGAATATTAAATAATAATGTGACATTTTATGTTGTAAATCCTCATTTAAATTATTTATTGTTGTCTTTATCTTGTGTTTTTTTTTATTTAAATTGCAACTGAATTTTACTACTTATGAGGTATAGCAATTTAAGTGGATAAAAAGGAAAGTTATATAACTAATTATTCCTTTTAAGAGTAATTTCTTAGATTTATGTGGAAATATAGAAAACGGAAAGGATTGTTTTCGTAATTTGAAAATAATGAGTATGACAATTCTTTCGCAAATGACCAATTGAAAAATTATTAAATGATTATAGGTAATTTTTGCATATATATATGATTTACAAAGTGTTTATGTTTTATGATTTTATCTTTTTGCATATATGTTTTACA